CAAAACGTGTATTTCCGTTTAAAACTCAGATTCAAAAATTTTCTCAAATGCAATACTTACCCTTACTATATATTACATATACACGTAAGTGAAAGTAAAAATTTTCTTCTTATTATTATTATTCCTTTTATTAAAGTTAAATTAATAAAATAAAGTTTTCGTCAGATGAAGGAATTGTTTTACTAAAATAGGTCTTTTTTCTAGCTAGAAGAAATCTATTTTGCAATTGCGAAAAAAAAAAAAAAAAAATCTATTCTGGGCTTTTCATTCAGATATTGATTCAATTGACTGTATTTACGAATTTTGATGCATGCTTTGTATGTAAACTAAATATCTAATTGTATCAATTTATTAAAAAGTAGTTCGTAAAACCCCCTTAACATTCGGATCTGTGCCAAGCAAAGATTATGAACTAATATCAAAGACCACGGAACACTTGCGTTTTGATTAAGAGGAAGTTATCAATTTATTACTTTCTGTTTAGTAACCTTCAATGAGTGTAAACCTGGAACCTCTGGAACGATTGATGGAATTAATCAATGAAATTAGAGCTGAGCTTAGAGCTTAGTTGCCCTTTAATTAAATAATGTTAATTTATAAAATTCTAATTTTCGTAATAATACTAGTTTAATAATGTTCATATTCAAGTTTACAATGTTGATTTATATTTTTTTATTTTCAACAATATCTAAACTCTACAAATACTATTTTATACTATGTATTATTTTTAATAACTGGTTTAACATCTGCTTTGGATCTAAATATTAATTTTTACAACCAATTCCTTTGGAACTTTATTTAAAGAGTTGTGCCCCCTTGATCCCTCCTCCTCCCCCTTTACTCTTAGAAGTGACCCGACTCACGCCTCTGCCACTAATATCAATAACCTACTATCCTGGCCGATCTTGCAACTGGTTAGGTGTGTTATGGATTATAGATGGGTAAATACTATAAATAATTTCTTAGGAGAATAAGCATAACAAAATAATGTGATAACGGAAGGAATAAAAGTGTCATTGATGAAAACTCGTGGGACAACCAGAAGGCTGGAGGGTGTTACGTGGCTTGCATCACATTACCTTCTTCTTGTAGAGTCCTCTTTTCTCTCTGCTGTGTATCCTCATCTTTAGGAATTTATGGTAATTAGTGTATTTGTTTTAAAGGATTATGCAATCTTCGCTGGCACTAAGATAAAAAAAAAAAAAATTTTGCATGTACTTTGGCTATTAATAAAAACAAAACAAAAAATCTTTACTAAAAATTATACTGTCCCTTGACTTGAAATATTAACTGTAATCAATTTAATTTTTCGTTGCAACGAATGATACCAAAATGAAATCCTTCGGTTCTTACCCTTCATCATGTATTTAATTCGTAGTTTCTTCAGCTAATTGATATCATATAGTCATTATTCTTCTTCCTTTAACTTCTCTGAATCGGTGAGGTCCAGGATTAATAGTATAAACTCGACGGGCTTTCTGAGATTCTTCAGATCACCATAGAGCTTCATCGCCAAGTCTGTGGTGTTTGGCTAAATTTGTTTTCTGATGTCTTCCAGTTCAGGACAGGTCAGAATACAGCTCTGTATTCTGGTAGCCTGTTCTACAACTACAGCGAGTACTTCAGTTTTAAATTTCTCATAGAGGTGTGACCTTATTCTATTGTGGCCAATTCTGAGTCTAAAAAGTAAAACTTGTTTTTTTCTGCTCATTTAGTAATAATAATCAGCAGAATTTTAATGTGGATTAGCATCATTCCATATTTGTAGTACAGCTGCTTTATTTAAGGAGAAGGCCTCCTGAAGAGTTTAGGTGTAATTTATTTGAGGGGATGCAGCTTTTACTAGTATTTTATTTCCATCTAGTCTGCAGTCCCCAGGTATTCGTTGTAGTACAACTCTTTTGCATTGGAGCTGAAGTTTTTCAAATTCTTCTGCTAAAGTCTGGAGTCCTGACTTCCATTTGGGCTTGAGGGACTGCCCCATGCCATAGAAACAAAATATTGGAGTTTAGATTCCTTTTTTGGCCGTCTCATTATTCTGCTGCCCTCTGAATCAGCTTCTTGTTCAGCATTGGAATATGTTGGAATGGCTTTGTCTAGGTTGGTAGGAGCAGGGAATTCCATGCGTTTCAATTTAAAGTCATTCGATTTTAGTGTCAGCCATAGACATTTGGCGACCCAGGGTATGGTCATCATCTCCCACAAAAGATTTTAACTTAAGCCGTTTTTTATTAAATAGTATTTGAATTTTATTTGATTAAATGGGTTCCTAATTCAGATGCTTTCTTTATAGGATACAATTAATTATTTGTATACGCTTTTTATTTTTTTATATTCCTAACAAATGAAGAGCGCCCATCTTCAAGTCGGTGCCACTTAAAAATCCGGAGATGTACAATATTCATATTTTTTAATTCCACAAAAAAGGCAAAATCGATTTTCATAGTTTTTAGTCACAGACATGTTTTATTTTACATATACAATGCGGAACTGACCGTAATGAAGACACCACACTTCTTTATTCCAAAATTAATTCTTCCTTATTATAGCTACAAATTGGCAATAAGAATAATTTATATGATAATATGAAGTGGCAATATGGCGCGGTATATAATATAGATTTTTAAAGAAATTAAAAATTTAATGCACTGTGTGTGAGGAGATCGGAAGATAATATAATCACTTTTATTCATTACACTACGAGAACTAAGAATTTATTGTTACAGCAAATTTGACACACTAATCAAAGATTGTAAACAAACCATTTACAAAAATAAACATTTAAATTACACTCTACACACAATATTTGCAATAAAAACAGACTAAAACGATGAACACTATTCACAAACAAATATTCTATCGCCAAACAAATGTCATTCGAATAACTGAAGTAGAGATTTAATTCCCAATAGTTATTAAATTTGAGTAAAATACCTTGGTACTCGGTTCTCAAAGTAGCATTTGCACATATTTTAAGACGGGTCCTCCTTTATGGGGCACCATTCCTAACTAAAATATTACCGGCAATAATGAATAAGCCTCCAACGGTTTCAGAACGGTATGCAGAGAAAAAAATAGTCCCGCTTTGTATATGTAAAATAAACAAATATTCTATCGCATGGTGGATCTACACTAATACCTCAGAGAGGTCTTTGCACTTATGCAGTATTATCTTTAGACAATCTTCCCATGCTAACAGATCACAATCTGGTTTATTTTAAATTGATAAAAATAATAAAATCTGAATTATACAATATATAGGTATGTAAATTACAGTTATACAATTTGAACAACGAGCAGTACAATTAAATGAACAGTTTTATAATTTGTAAAATGGGGGTTGGTTAGGTGGACAGGCGGTAACCCCAGGGGCAGAGATGGGCTACTGTGAATACTGAGTATTAAATATTTTACTCAATTACTGAACTTTTTTGAGTGCGAAAGAATTTAATTACTATTTCAGTTGATGCCATTCGAATAACTGAAGTAGAGATTGAATTCCCAATAGTGATTAAATTTGAGTAAAATACCTTGGTACTCGGTACTCAAAGTAGCATTTGCACATATTTTAAGACGGGTCCTCCTTTATGGAGCACCATTCCTAACTAACATATTACCGGCAATAATGAATAAGCCTCCAACAGTTTCAGAACGGTATACAGAGAAAAAAATAGTAAGGCACACGACTTTACAGAAAGTAGGTAGGAACCTGTTACATACCACCATAAATTATCGAAAGTGTGCTACATTATCACATCGAGGCATATCAAATTATTTGACAGCCTTAGATACTCGACAATGCCACTTTTTAAAACACTTACTTACAAACCCATGAGATGGCAGACATACATTAAAAACCTATTACTAGACTGAGAAAATGAATGGGCATTTAAAGGACACTAATGAGCCTCGTTACTAGACTAAGACACTCAATAAGTACAAATAACTACAGCACTTCCAATTCCCTATCTCTTTCTTAACGTTACGCTGTACAGTAAAAGAGGTCGTCTTTAATCCTCGACCTACCCTCTGTTTCCAATTATCAATAGTTAGCAGTTAATAAAATTAAAAACAAAAGTTAATTAACGTTTAAATAGATTAATTACTACTAAAATTATGGTGCTAAGTGAAAGTTGTTTGATGCATCACACTAGATTTTGTAGATTTACATTAGTGTATTTTATAATCGTACAAATCATAATTTAGAATTTGAGATGTAAGGATTGTAGTAAAAAAAAAGTGGGTTTTAAATACTGGTCATGAACAGTCCAAGAATTAGTTATTTTGTCGATCCTAACATCTCGTCGCTCTGGCTGATAATTACTTATTTCGTTTATCTGTTTAATTATTTTATTATTATTACTTACTTTTCTTCAATAGTTTCTTAGCTCAAGTCATTTATTGACAACATCGTGATAAAAATGATCATTATATTCTTTTCTTATATTTGAGATATTACCATGTCCTCACTGAACGAGTTCTTGAAACTGATCCTCCATCTACAACTTCACAATCAGAAAACTGATACTTCCAATGTGGCTCATCAACGAATAAGTCTAAAGATTGGTCTTCTCGTTTGGCCAATACGAGTATATCGTCTAAAATTGGATTTTTCATGTGCTTAGCTATGTGAGAGTGTATGTATTTTTTCTCTTAACTCATAGTATTTGACTGAGTAATCGAATGCTCTCTTGCCACTATGCAATAAGCACAATGGTTGAAGAAAATATTCAATTATGGGCTCAATATATCGAAATCCATGGTGTTTCGAAAGCGAAAGAATCTATATCTGATGTAGTATATTATATGAATATTTTTTATTTAATGTTCTAGTTGAATTTAAATAAAAAATAATTTATGCTATTGAAATCTTTTATAATTTCTTTTTAGTATGTTCTTCAGGAATAATGTTTTTTTTTAAGTTTTGTTAAATGTAAATAGATTTATATATAGGTAATAATAGTATAACACCTTATAAATGGATTTTTGGATTATGAAGTAAAAAACAAAGTTTATAGAAAAATGTTTATTAACTTAACACTAAAAAAATTAAGAAATGAGTCTGTCATGGTACAACACATTATTCTAAAAATGTCTCACCATTAATGAGTTACAAAAGAAGTATTTAAATAATTACAGAAAATCGTTCAGTTCAAAGTGGCTGTCCACAAGTTGTGCTGTGCTCCGAGCGGTTTCTGTTCTGATCATGAAAATATACAACTTGCAAAACACAACTTGTCGACGGGCACGATCACAATATTGCTTTCTAATCCTAATTGAGAGGTCGCTTTGACACAACTTTCCTTACTCGTTGCCTTGGGTTGATTTTCGCACCAAATTCTACTGGTAAGACCGAGTCCACAAACTTATCACCACCCCTGCTATATCTTTTATAAAACACACTCTGGGACTGGGATGAACCCGCCGAGCATTGAGAGCACTCATAAGGAACAGGAACAGCTGATGGGAACATCGGCTTGATTTCCTCTGTGTTTGTTGAATTACCTGGACAGTAAGGAACGAAAATTACGGGTATATAGCCAAGGACCGCATTCGGTGGTAGATCAGCCGGCAGCTGAATAGATCCAGGGGATGAACCTTGACCAGTTGATGTAGCGTTAGGAGAAACGAGATAGCACGGGCAAGATCCTGGGCTGGGGACGATCGGAAGAGGATAGGTAATGACCGTAACTCCAGGAGTTGAAGGTTCTCCTGGATAGCTTGGTTGGCATGATTGCCCTGGTCGTCCAGAGCATCCTGGTTGAGATGGAGTTCCTGGATATCCGGGTTTGCCTGGTTGCCCTGGGTACGCTGGACCAGTAGGTTTACCTGGATAACCGGGGACGCTAGGTTGACCGGGTGTTCCAGGAGTACCTGGTGTTCCTGGGTATCCTGGACCAGTTGGTTTTCCCGGGTAGCCGGGTTGCCCTGGTCTACCGGGTGTTCCAGGAGTTCCTGGAGTCCCTGGAGTTCCTGGAAATGCTGGATATCCTGGTTGTGCAGGTTGTCCTGGGGTTCCTGGTGTTCCGGGTGTTCCAGGTCTACCAGGAATTCCTGGATAACCAGGTTGTGATGGTGTTCCAGGGTATCCTGGACCTGTCGGTTTTCCTGGGTAACCTGGTTGGGACGGAGTTCCAGGGAATCCTGGTCCAGTTGGTTGTTGTCCCGGGTATCCTGGTTGCCCTGGCGTTCCTGGAGTTCCAGGTGTTCCTGGCCTTCCGGGTGTTCCTGGGTAGCCAGGCTGAGTTGGTGTTCCTGGATATCCGGGTTGTGATGGAGTTCCTGGGTATCCTGGTTGTGATGGAGTTCCTGGAAATCCTGGTCCTGTTGGATGCTGTCCTGGGTATCCTGGCTGACCCGGTTTTCCTGGTGTTCCAGGGGTTCCAGGTGTTCCTGGCCTTCCCGGAGTTCCTGGATAACCAGGTTGTGATGGTGTTCCTGGGTAGCCAGGTTGGGATGGTGTTCCTGGATATCCGGGTTGTGATGGAGTTCCTGGGAATCCTGGACCTGTTGGTTGTTGTCCTGGGTATCCTGGCTGTCCTGGTGTTCCGGGAGTTCCTGGTCTTCCGGGTGTTCCTGGGTAGCCAGGCTGAGATGGTGTTCCTGGATATCCGGGTTGTGATGGAGTTCCAGGGAATCCTGGTCCTGTAGGTTGTTGTCCTGGGTATCCTGGCTGTCCTGGTTTTCCTGGTGTTCCGGGGGTTCCTGGAGTTCCTGGTCTTCCGGGTGTTCCTGGGTAGCCAGGCTGAGATGGTGTTCCTGGGTAACTAGGCTGTGATGGCGTTCCTGGATATCCGGGTTGGGATGGAGTACCTGGGTATCCTGGTCCTGTTGGTTGTTGCCCTGGGTATCCTGGCTGTCCTGGTTTTCCAGGCGTTCCGGGGGTTCCTGGAGTTCCAGGTCTGCCGGGTACTCCTGGATAGCCAGGCTGTGATGGTGTTCCTGGGTATCCCGGCTGGGATGGCTTGCCTGGGTATCCTGGACCAGTTGGTTGCTGACCTGGATATCCTGGCGTTCCTGGTGTTCCAGGTGTTCCGGGTCTTCCGGGAATTCCTGGGTAACCAGGTTGTGATGGTGTCCCTGGATATCCTGGTCCTGTTGGTTGTCCTGGGTATCCTGGTTGTGATGGAGTTCCTGGAAATCCTGGTCCTGTTGGTTGTTGCCCTGGGTACCCTGGCTGTCCTGGTTTTCCTGGCGTTCCTGGAGTTCCTGGTGTTCCTGGCCTTCCAGGTACTCCTGGGTAGCCGGGCTTCGATGGTGTTCCTGGATATCCTGGTTGTGATGGAGTGCCGGGGAATCCTGGTCCAGTGGGCTGTTGTCCTGGGTATCCTGGCGTTCCAGGAGTTCCAGGAGTTCCTGGCCTTCCTGGTACTCCAGGGTAGCCTGGCTGTGATGGTGTTCCTGGGTATCCCGGTTGTGATGGAGTTCCAGGGAATCCTGGACCTGTGGGTTGTTGGCCTGGGTATCCTGGTTGTCCAGGCTGACCTGGTGCTCCGGGTGTTCCAGGAGTTCCTGGTCTGCCAGGTATTCCTGGTTTTCCTATAAAAAAATATATATATTTAGTACTATTAATAAAAATATAATAGCCAAACCGAGATTTAATGTAAATTTTATGCTGGTAATATAATTCTTTATTCATCAATATCAAAGTAGCAAGAGGAAATCTTGCCCCTTTTTTTTGTTCATAAAAATTATTTCTTAAGAAAAAAGCTAATTTTTGCAGATTCTGGAATGTAAAGTAGTTGTGAATTAATAGTAGATGGTCTAGAAAATATATCATCCTATAATTCATCGACCTTGAAATCATGCTACAATTGTTTGGAAGGAAAACATTATTTGATGTAAAATGAAAGGTTTAATTAAGAGTTTTTACAATATTAGGAGCAATCTGAAAATTTTTAAATAAGAAGGAAATGAGTTAGTGAACGTTTGATGAATTAATTGAAAAACTGATGTTTATTCTGAAACAATCAGCCCCATGAATAAAAAAAATACCTAGTTCATATTTCTGGCTGAATTGTAGGAGTTAATTTAATTATTCATATAATAACTGAAAAATTATAAATAAAATAAAATTTCAAATTGGCACAAATACAAAAGAACTGTTATGTGTAGGGTTATACAAGTTGGTAAGTTGAGACTAGTATTTAAGTGAAGGGCGGAAGGATGTATAAATAATTGTAATAGTTAATATAGGAAGACACCGGAAAGGAAATGGCTGTTGAATATAGGATGAAGCCTCCCTTGCATGGTATATTTGGTAGAGATATACCGAAGTCTGGAAGGATATTTAAATAATAGGTATTCATAGTTCTATTGGGCAAATGGAAAATATATATATATATATATATATATCTGAATTGCTTTGAACTGAAATGTCGTGTCATTAAACGGCTCATTGATGGATTAAACGGCTTTTAAAAGGTACAAGAAAAAAACAATTGTGGTTTTTTTTCTATTATTGATAATTTCAAAGTTCAATTTAAATCTATATCTATTGAATAAATAAAAGTCTAATAAATATAAATTTTAATTGTAAATTTTTTTAATAAAATATAATTGAAAAAAATATATGAAAAAATATATTTAGAATGAAAATGGGTAAAAAGTAATGCACTTTAGAAGGAGAAATGATCTAATTCAGTGGTTGACAATTGCTTTTCTTTCAGTTTGTGGGAACAATTATTTTTTTGAAGACAACATAATATCAGAAAAAAATGTTCTCAATGAATAAATGTGTGGAAGAACGACTGATTTTTAGTTTAATATTTATTAAAAGAATTTGGCCTTGGCTATATTCAAACGAAAAAAGAAAACATACAGGATTAAATGAAATTTAAGGAGTAGAGAAAGTGATAGGGTAAACCTGAGGCTTATTCCGAATGACATTAGCTGATTTACCATTTCCATATCTATAAACCTATCCTTAGTAAGGAAAAAATATAAATGAATCACTCCTCTGGTATAAGTATGTTCAGCAACGTGGAAAATTTAGAAGAAAAACAGGTTACTTATTTCTTACATTTCATCTAAAAGTTGATACAAGAAAGTAGTCCAGGTAATTATTAAAAATGTGCGTAAGTATAGCCTATTGAGTTTTGTAACAAATATGCCTTCTTGACAACGAATAAATAAGCTTTGCAGTGTTGAACGAATCATTTGAAATAAATAAATATCTATCTAGTGTGAAATTAGTAGGACTAATTATCGCATAGTGCATAGTAATAGAATGTGAAGGAAAGTTTGAGTTACAAACAATGAGGAAACCCATTGATAGTGTGTGGTATAAAAAGTAAACATGAATAAAAGCAAACACTTGGAATTGAAATATGAAGATTCGCTAAATCAACAATAAAAGTTTAATGGATCAGTACTGGGTATGCACTATTTCTAAGTCAAGGGTTGTGCAAGGAGGTCATTTGACTGAGACCGTCAGGTTTTCCCACTTAATTAATTAATTAGAGAAACCCACTTCATAGTGGTTAGGTGTGCCCATGAAGAGTCCCCCGACACTAGGGTTGATGAAACAGAATAAATAATTATCTTCCACGTGCCGGGTTCGAAACCAAGACTGAGTTCTGAAAGTCAATATTCTACCCTATGAGCTACCTCGATCGCAGAAATAAACTAATTGCTTTAAAAAGTAATTTAAATAATAAATAAATTAAAAATATAAACATTTTAAACACAGCTGTTTACCTCCTTGCATTAAATTAAGCAACCTCTAACCACTTTTGTCCACCCGTGGAGGAAAACCAGGATTCCAGGAGATTTCAGGACTTCTCTCTCAACTGAGATCTTCTGGAATCCTGCTTTTGAGCGAGAGTACTTTATCCCAATACCCACAATTATTTGGCAGAGAATCTGGCCAACCCCGAAACTCTAATAAAAACATACAGAAGGACGTAGGGGCACTGCCGTTTGAACGTTCTGATAGAATTACCGAGATGAGCACATAAGAATTAAGCTCAAGGGCGTGGATGATGGCCATGGTTCTGGTGAAATTAGGAGAATTATTCTGGAATAAAGTAATGAACAAATGGAATATTACGGTCACGATTTAAGAATTTTGGTTATTATACATAATGGGCCATTGCTTGATAGACTTTGGATGTAAAGGATTTGTTTGATGATGAAGAACTTTATTTTCCCCCACATCTAAGTATTTTCTTTAGCAGAAAGCCAAGATATTACTTTTCTTTACTTTTTTTTAAACGATTTTTAGATGTTTAAGTTTATGAGGAGTAGATCAGTAAGACATTCAAATTCACTGGTGTGAGCCAATACTATTTATTAATGGCATTGAAAGAAACAGAAGGAGTAATTGGCTTAACACGTTCCTATGTTTGATAAAGAATTACTAAAATAAATTCAAGAATGAGATGGAATTGCATTTTCAATTCAATGATTTTTATTATGACTACTATAAAAAGGATTTGTTACCTGGGTGTCCTGGGGATCCTGGATAACCGGGGTGAGGTTCTGGTTCTCCTGGGAATCCCGGCTGAGAGGGTTGTCCTGGATATCCTGGCTGCCCTGGTTTACCTAATCAGTTTACATGATTTATTTTTTTTTATAATATCTTTTAACTAACCATATATTTAAATAGTTTTAAATATATATTTATATGGTTCAAATTAATATTGCAACGATTATTATAATAAGCCCAAACAAAGCTATTAAAATGTCAGCCAAATCGCTAATTAAATAGGATTTAATTTTTAATAAGTTTCGATAATGTAAATCAATTTTTACATTTTCTAAAAAGAACAAGACTGAAAAAGAAGCACAAATTGTTAGAACATAAATTCCACATCCTTAATTTAATATTATAATATTTCATAAGGTCTTTAATTAAATAAATTATTATTGACATAAATCTGTGAATGTGGTCAACATATCTGAAGTAAAAGCACAATGATTTACTTTTATTACTATAAACCAAGGTAATTGAATAAAAAAAAAGACTTAATAAAATACCTGGCTGTCCTGGGTAACCTGGCTGACTTGGCTGCCCTGGGTATCCGGGTGTTCCTGGTTTTCCGGGGATTCCAGGTGTTCCTGGGGTTCCGGGTGCTCCTGGGTATCCGGGTTGGCTTGGGAATCCCGGCTGGCTTGGCTGTCCAGGAAATCCGGGAGTTCCTGGCTTACCTGGCTGTCCTGGGTAACCAGGCTGACTTGGTTGTCCTGGTTGTCCGGGCGTGCCTGGAAGTCCTGGAGTACCGGGTGATCCTGGTTTTCCGGGGTATCCTGGCTGACTTGGTTGTCCTGGATATCCGGGATATCCTGGCTGACTTGGCTGTCCTGGGTATCCAGGGTATCCTGGTTGACTTGGCTGTCCAGGGTATCCAGGCTGTCCTGGTGTTCCTGGATGTCCTGGAGTTCCGGGTGTCCCTGGTTTTCCTGGAAAACCGGGGTATCCAGGCTGACTTGGCTCACCTGGATGCCCAGGAGTTCCTGGGTATCCGGGGTATCCTGGCTGACTAGGCTGTCCAGGGTGTCCGGGGGTTCCTGGTGTTCCAGGATGTCCTGGGTATCCTGGCTGACTTGGTTGTCCTGGGAATCCAGGGGTTCCGGGAGTTCCGGGTTTTCCTGGCTGTCCTGGGAATCCTGGCTGACTAGGTTGTCCTGGGTATCCAGGAGTTCCAGGTGTTCCTGGTTTGCCTGGCTGTCCTGGGTATCCTGGTTGGGTAGGCTGTCCTGGGAATCCAGGTGTTCCGGGCGTGCCTGGTTTTCCTGGCTGTCCTGGCAATCCAGGTGTTCCTGGTTGTCCCGGCTGACTTGGGAATCCTGGCTGACTAGGTTGTCCAGGATATCCAGGTGTTCCAGGAGTTCCTGGCTGTCCGGGGTATCCTGGCTGACTGGGTTGTCCTGGGAAACCTGGTGTTCCAGGAGTTCCTGGTTTTCCTGGCTGTCCTGGGAATCCAGGCGTTCCGGGAGTACCTGGTTTTCCTGGGTATCCAGGTTGACTTGGTTGTCCTGGGTAACCTGGGGTTCCTGGTGTTCCTGGCTTTCCTGGGAATCCTGGCTGGCTTGGTTGTCCTGGGTATCCGGGTGTTCCAGGAGTTCCTGTTTCATAAATTTTAGATAAAATCGTAAAATTTGACACCTTATTAATCTTTTAATAATATTTTACAATTAAATGAATTACTTTAAGATTTTGCCGTAATTATTAAACCAAATGTGCTCGATTAGTCTAAAGTTAACACAATAATATACTTTTCTATTTATAAACCAAGGAAATTGTATAAAAAAAAGAAAAAATAATATTTGAAAATATACCTGGTTGTCCTGGGTAACCTGGCTGGCTGGGCTGTCCTGGGTATCCGGGTGTTCCTGGTTTTCCAGGCTGACCTGGTGTTCCGGGTGTACCTGGGTATCCTGTAACGTATAATAAAACGATTATTGTTTGTATTATGCTATCAGTACATTGAGTAAATAAGGTTATTATTGAAAAAAAAAAATTGTTTTTTTTTTGTTAATATTATTTAGATAATATTAGTTATTGTAGTGAGTCCTAAAACGTTAACTATATAAATTATTAGTTATGGGGCCGTTGATTTTATGTAAACACACTGTGCGCTAAGATTATAATTAAAATTTTGCTATCGCTTTTTGGGTGTTTTAAGTAGGTTTAAAATTAATAAACTCTCCTTTTCATTAAGAAATCCTTAACTTTTGTCCGGTTTCAGTCTTCTTACAGTTTTGTTCAAATCATAATATTGTTTTTGCTTTACTTTTTTTAAAATGATTCAATATTGTTAACGGGCATCAACTATTTTAAAAATGTGTAAAATAATAATAATAATATCGGGTTCATGCTAAAGACGATCTTAAAACCTAAATTGCGTTCATCACAGAGACCGGAAGATCACAAAAGAGAGTTACCTGGAACTCAATAATTCAGAAAATATTTTATTTTGTTCTTATTTAGTTTTATATTGTTTTGAAATTACCTTTTTTTTTTTTTTTTTTTTTTTGAATTTGTAAATATGGTTTGAATGTGCTCTCAGAACTATATTGTCCCTGTATAAATGTCCTTTATTGAGACAGATGGTAATATTTATCAATAAACAAATAATCCAAAAATTCAGAGTAATTCCTTCTCTCCGAAACTGAGACTATCATCTCGCAGTCTTGTTTACGAATAACTCTTTTATACTATTGAAAAAATGATTTCATCGCTAATTTTACGATTCCGGAATCAACTGTAGAGAGTTAGAAGCGGTTGAGCCTATAGTCAATATTATGGAGCAGAAATGAAAGCAAACAGGCTTACTTTTAAACTGAGAAAAATAATGGGCGGGGTGGCCGAATGGGCTAACGCGTGTGCACTATACCGCCGTTGCCTGGCAACCTCATACATAAGACTTTGATAAAAAAAAATATCAGTTGATATGAAAATATGAGTTCACGTCCCGGTGCCCGGAGGAGTTTTTAAATCCCCGCCCACACTCCCTGGCCCAGGAAAGCCCCCGTATAGCCTTAAAAGGCGAGGGGATGACAAAAAAAAAAAAAAAAAAAAACTGAGAAAAATAATAAGGACTACTGACTGAACTCATGCAGTCAATACATTATATATGCAGAAAAATGATTAAACTATTTGAGATGATTGCTGTTCAACAAGTGGCATGTCTTTGTAGACTCTATGAGAAGAGAGGCAGATATATTCCGCAAGCAAAGCTTCGAAACGGTAATACAATTAAACCCTCTGCATTATAAGTTTGCAAGAGAAAAATTATTATTAATGCTTAAAAGGCAATAATTAAACATAGCAATGAACGGTAATATCAACTAAAAATTTAACTGAAGTATCGTTCTTGAATTATCATTCGTTATAATCATTCAGAATATCGAAGAATACTTTGAAAAAAAAAATTAAGAAAATATAAAGAAATATATATATATATATATATATATATATATATATATATATATATATATAATCATTAGAACCGTTTATGAGATAATTGTGAAAAAGTGTAAAATCAAAGATATAAGGAGACACTTCTTAGGTTGGCACCATTATTAGGGGAAAATTCCTATTACGTCCCAGGCTACGTTTTTATTTGAGCTAGACTGATTGAAAATTCATCTCTTTTTTTTTTTTTTTTGATCTGGTAGAAGATAGATACTTCGGAGTGATATTGATGTTTTCATTTTGATGAAAAATCCACTAGGTTTTATGGTCAATTCACTATCTATATCATATTTGATAGAGGGCGTTTTCGTTTTAGAGTAAACCACAAAAACTATTTTTGTGCAACATACAAAGGGATTTGTTGTTCCATGTCAAGATTTATATAAATACGATTCGAAGAATAGATTATCAGATAAGCATCTACTGTAATGGTCACAATATAGAAAAGGTAGAAAAATATTAAGAGAATATGTTAAAGAAACGCTCAAAAAGAAGAAATAAAAATAAATTATTTTGAGGATGGTTAAACCCATATTTAAATCACACCTTGTTGGTAGATCCTGCTTAATACTGTTTGATATTTTTTTTGGTACTCCTACTTGTTGCCGTAGAGAATTAGAAAATTATTTTTTATGCATTACTAAAATTACAGTTATAGGTTCCAAAACATAAAATCGGCTAATCTTGACTGAATAAGTTTCCTGAAAGAACTAACCGATATTTTGAAAACTTGCAACATATAATTAAAGTACACCTAACCCGAAAATATAAAGAGTAATATATATATATATATATACAAAAATTAAAGAAATAATAAGATAGCTATAAAAAATATATACATTTCATCAGAAAGTTAAGAGCTCTCTTTCCAGTTTTGCAAGCTTAAGATTTATTAATATGCCAGTTTATTTTTAATCAAATTTACATAACTATATAATAAAATTACCAGATTTTTACGTGATAAACACAAGTTTGAACGTTTAAACTATTGATTTTTTAGTCCAAAAAATATTGCTAGTTATTTAATCGGTTTCATACAGTCAATTTTCATAAGTTAATGAGATTTTTTAATACAGGATTTTTTTTAATGAGTCGTAAACGCATTCGTTTACATTGCACTTTTATGTACGAAAATACTGAGAGTATCGTTTGAGAAAAATCGCTAATTAACCTCAGATTTTATAAAAATTGATGGATAAATTTTTGAACCAAAACAATTTTACGTGACTTCAAAATCAATGGCATAGGGAAATATATAAGGGAAGAAAATTCCTTGGTGGTAGCTCAAATATTAAAAAAACAAATATAACTAAAGAATTCATGTAAATATTAGAGCAATTAATATATATTAGTAATATTGAACCTGGATATGATGGAGTTCCCGGTTTTCCAGGTGTTCCTGGTCCTCCCGGCTGCCCAGGGAATCCAGGTTGACTTGGGTATCCTGGTGTACCTGGTGTTCCTGGGTATCCTGGTGTTCCCGGTTTTCCTGGCTGGCTTGGTTGTCCAGGGTAACCTGGGGATCCTGGGGTTCCCGGAGTTCCTGGGTATCCTGGCTTACTTGGCTGTCCTGGTGTTCCTGGCTGTCCAGGGAAACCAGGAGTTCCAGGCGTACCTGGTAATCCGGGAGTTCCTGGTTTTCCTGGCTGTCCTGGATATCCGGGTTGACTTGGCTGGCCTGGGTAACCGGGGGTTCCTGGTGATCCCGGTGTGCCTGGTTTTCCTGGGAATCCTGGCTGACTTGGTTGTCCGGGGTATCCGGGTGTTCCTGGTTTTCCTGGCTGTCCAGGGAATCCTGGCTGACTTGGCTGTCCTGGATATCCGGGTGTTCCTGGCTGTCCTGGGTATCCAGGTGTTCCAGGTGTTCCTGGTTTTCCTGGCTGTCCTGGATATCCGGGCTGACTTGGTTGTCCTGGGTATCCAGGTGTTCCGGGTGTTCCTGGCTGTCCTGGATATCCTGGCTGACTTGGTTGTCCTGGGTATCCAGGTGTTCCGGGTGTTCCTGGTTTTCCTGGTTGTCCTGGATATCCTGGCTGACTTGGTTGTCCTGGGTATCCAGGTGTTCCGGGTGTTCCTGGTTTTCCTGGCTGTCCTGGATATCCTGGCTTACTTGGTTGTCCTGGGTATCCAGGTGTTCCTGGAGTTCCTGGCTGTCCTGGATATCCAGGCTGACTTGGTTGTCCAGGGTATCCTGGTGTTCCGGGTGTTCCTGGTTTTCCTGGCTGTCCTGGATATCCAGGCTGACTTGGTTGTCCGGGGTATCCTGGTGTTCCGGGTGTTCCTGGTTTTCCTGGCTGTCCTGGATATCCTGGCGTTCCTGGTGTTCCTGGTTTACCTGGTTGTCCAGGGAATCCTGGCTGACTTGGCTGTCCTGGGTATCCAGGTGTTCCTGGCCCTCCTGGCTGTCCTGGGTATCCTGGCGTTCCAGGTCCTCCTGGCTTACCAGGGTATCCTGGTGTTCCTGGGCCTCCTGGCTGTCCTGGATATCCAGGAGTTCCTGGTCCCCCTGGTTTTCCTGGCGTACCCGGTCCTCCTGGTCCTCCTGGTTGTCCCGGTCCTCCTGGGTATCCTGGTCCTCCCGGACCTCCTGGGTATCCTGGTCCTCCCGGACCTCCTGGTCCTCCTGGATATCCTGGACCTCCTGGTCCTCCTGGGTATCCAGGTTGTCCCGGTCCTCCTGGCCCTCCTGGTTGTCCCGGATATCCTGGCTGTCCTGGTCCGCCTGGTTTTCCTGGCTGTCCGGGGTATCCTGGCTGTCCTGGTTGTCCTGGGAATCCTGGTTGACCTGGTACACCTGGCCTTCCTCCTCCTCCCATACCACATCCTTTAGGGAAGTAAAGTTCTCCCCATGGTGTAAGCTTGCCGTGGTGAGTATGGTGTTCATGTTCGTGCTCTTCTGCTTGCCCATCCACATTATTATCTTCTCCATGTTCATGTGGGTGTAAGAATATTTCAACATCTTCTCCGGGTGTGACTACTCGATAGCCCCATCCATCAGATACATAGTGTGTCGCTTGTAACATTCCGTTTGGGTCGATATATCCGTAGCACCCGTAGACGACACCATCGGGTCCTCGGTTTTCGTGGTGGAACTGTCCATCAGGTCCTATTTCGTATCCGAAAACGTAAGCACCTGAAATTTAAAATATTTTTATTTTAGAAACATTTGACTAAAGTGTATGAATCATAACAATATTTCAACATATTGTTGAAAATTTCTAGTCATATTAGAATCATTTGATTAATACGTCAATACACTAAACATTAGAAAGAATAACTTGGGTTTTTAAAAGATTTTAATTTTTTTTATACTAATAAATTCAAAAATATCAATTGGTAATTATTAACTTAAAATGTATACGGTTCATAAAAATTAGTCCTTACTTGTATTAAAATTCTGCTCGTGGTATTGCGTTTTGTTGACATCTTCGATATCTACTAGCACTTCCTTATCACCATGAAGTGGTCTGCTATACACATCTGTCTCCTGGAAATCGCTCTGAGCTAATATTCCTATAACCCCAAGAGCCTGAAAATAATAAAAATGTGTTAATTAATACATAAATGATGTAAATTACATTAACGAAACATTACATAAAGGAAGGAAGATGATAACTGGCTAGAGCTAAGTAAGGAATGCAGAAGACGAGGAGAACTGGATCGTTGCGACCTCGATCATGACTGGACCTTGTCCGTTGTGGGTCACTGCCTTCAATATATAACGTAAACAACGCGATCTAGGGATTGTCTTTTCCTTATTTTAAGGCTTTGATTTTTATTTTCCAAATTATAAAGCAAGTTCATTGCAAATACCTATAATTATTATTATAACTACCATGTTTAATGGTATAAAATATACATTAGATTTTCATAAATTCTTAATAGTTTGTGAATTTATGATTATTTCAAGTAATTATCGTAAGTTAGAAATAGTGATTTATAATAAAAGTAACAAATACAAGGATTTTTATAATAAAAGTAACAACAAATAAATAACGTTAGACAGAGAGAGATGATAATAGTGAACATTCTTTATTTGTACCAATAAAGAATATAAAAATAATTTTATTAATTCTTATTGATTATAAAATATTTCTATATTTATTCCTAATAACAATCTAATAATTTGTATGACTATTGATGTGCAATTTTATATTGGTCGGTATTTTTTTGTTATCAAAAGGATACTGTGTTAATAAAAATATTATTAAAATCAATTATAGAAATTCAAAGATTTATTTAATGTCGGTACTTATATAATTACTTTCTAAATGGATTGTTTATACGAAGTTATGATCAATAATGATTGGTTTTAAAGCGCATCGTATCATCAACAATATATCTCTGTAGTACTGTGCTAATATTTAAAAAATTACTTGTTCTCTATATCTCTTTATCATTCTTAAATCATTCCTCCTAATTTGTTTGTTGGATTAAAATTTACTATAGAAAAAATATATAAATGTTATACAGTTATTTTGAGTTCATATTAAATGCAAAAAAAAAAAAATCATAGCTTCTCTCCAAAAGCCTTCAGTTATTTGTTTCTCGATGAATAGTTTATGATTTTGTCAACCGTCGCATGTCATTATAATTTCAAAAAAATTATATTACAAGTATTTAATTTTTAGTACTAGTAAATATCACTGTCATTTAATTGTGTGAACATCGTAACCTATTTGTCTGTATATGCCTTGAAGATAATAGTTGCTGCTCTCTTTTTTCAGATTTTAGCATCACGTTGTAAATCGTAACGTTTTTTAATGAATAATAATTTATTTTCTAACTTTCTTTTTCCAATCACCTGTCAGAAGTACCGACAACCAGCGAGTGTGATGTCGAGAAGTACAAATTTTATTAAGTCGCAAGTAGGCCTGAGGGAGAGGATTACCCATTATTATCTTTCCCTTTCTTGATTTGAATACTTGATTGTAGTTAGTGGAGGAGATCCCTCATTCAGCTTCTTTTGAGCCTACAACAGTCTTAACAGATATTGGGATTGAAACCGTCGAATTCAAGAAATCGCTGTGAGCTTTCCAAAAATTATCTTTCCTACAAGTCTACTTAATGCAGTTGACAAGGCTTGTCAAAAAGTACCAACCTGAGATGAGAGTTATCAGAACAAAGATCAAAGCAGTTATGGTATAATTAATTGATGTTTATACTGATTAAGTGTTTAAGAAAAAGCTAACTCAGCCCGGATTAAGTTTGTATTTCATATCTAATTAAGGCCGATACGATTTGCCTTATATGTATAATAGAAATAAATAACATATTATCTATTTCCCTAGATATAGATAAATTTAACCTATATCGTGTAGCGAGATGCTGAGCGAGCGGTGAGATAACTCATCGCGACCTTGACATAGGACGCCTTGCGCAACGGGGCCAGTGAAAGTGCTGACCGCATCCTCCTTCCGCCTATGGCTCCTCACGAAGTGATCTTCCACTTGGAGCATTCCCAACGGGGTGACCTTTCTTTAATACCACGCTTTGAATAAAATGACAATGAATAATAAATAAATAAAAATAAATAAATAAATCCTCCAATATATAGTTGATAGAGATCACAGGATTGCTGCTTCGAGAGCTACGCGATTTCGACTTGCATAAAGATTATTTAACCAAAGTCCTTTTTGGAATTTCATGGCTGTTTTAGGATAATACGGAAATAACCGAGGAAAATATCCCGGGATCTCTTAGCGCCATAAAAGTTTACTAAAAATGTTAGAGATTAATCATAAAAGTCGATGTTGAGATGATCTATAATCTTGTATTCTATGGCCTTTTTTTTTTTTTTTTGGTAGAAATAACTTTATAACATGGTTTTGTTAATTTTATACTATATAACCATCATTGACAATACATATCATAGAAATCATCGATAACTCTACAGTGAAAATCGAATCTTAGGAGTAAAATTTTATATTTAAATCACCTCACTCGAGCCAGGCGTGTGTCTTGATTTTTAACGATGTTACCCTTTCGGATCAACCTCACATGACCGCATAGACCACTTGGCAGGTCGCCGGCCTGAAATTATTCTTTTTTTTTTTTTTTTTATTAAATTGTTGGATGTGTTCACTAAATCACACCTCTAAAATACAGGGGCTGAAATTATTCAAACAGCTATGATTTTTATTGTTACTTTTCATTGGTGAAGCCATTAGTCAAAAATAAAAACAATTGTTGGCTATGGCATGAAACACAGCGTGTACTATCTTGAATTAAAATAAACTAGTTTTCCAACTATTATTTACGAATGGTATATAAATATAAAAGGATTTCTATGCCTTTAATTGATATCATGATTTCAAGTCGATTTAATAATTACGAATTATTTAGAGATTTAAAGCGTATATCTTTATGAAATAGTCAAATGTAACAAAAACGTTACTTGTAACTCATTGTTGAAAATTAGTAAGAACAGAGCGAAGTGCTTATTGTAATCAACAGTTAAATTCATACCTAGCTCTCAAGGGTATTGATTTATTTATTTTTTTTTTTACTTCCTTATGGCTTAAGAATAAACATAAGTCAGAGAATAGGCAACATTAAACATTACGCAATGCAAAATCTGCTTGAATCGTTATTCTTCAGTACATCACCATCACTCACCATTGGGATGACACCTAATGGCTCCGCTCGCAGACGTTCAATGGCAATAATTGCGACTTGCGCGAATGGAACAATAAATACAACGCGTGGCACGAGCGCTAGCGACAAAGCACAGACCGCAGCAGGTGAAAGCGCAAGTTAACCTTTAGCTCTTAGGCCGACTTAATTCTTCCGAGGAAGTCCCATTAGGTGGGTCTGTGGCGAAGTGAAAACACGGCGGCCGGTTGATATAACTAATTATAAGTACGTTCATCAAATAAATGTGGCAATAATTAGAGTAGTGCTAGAATTACGAATGTGGGTACCTGGATCATTCTACAATGCATGTGATGTGTTGGGCATGGTGCTATGTAAGTGTGGGCTCGCCTTAATCAACAATACTATTTGAACTACATATAAAATTGAATATATTATCATGTTTTATGAATATATTTATTTACCAACGGTATTGTATAATACAAAACTTATAAATGATAATATAAAATTTAATGACCAACAGAAACAAAACTATCATTAAATTATTTTTTTGATAATTCGAAAAAGTATAGGTCATTCTTGTATAGAAAAAGGAAGTATAAGAATGAAATATTCTTAAATTCCAAATTTATTTAAAGAATTTCTCACTTTAAATTCGAGCTTGAAAATTGTATTCTTATATAAAGTTGAAGAAAAATAGTTTGGAGTCGGAATAAAAAAATATTAATGGATTGATCAAAACGAATCGTTGTTTTATAGTAAAATGTCAGTAAGCACACTTTTGATAGAGCTAAATATAGAAGTACATATTTGTGAATTTTGATCATATTTATAACTACATACGCTTTAAATTGGCATAAACTCTATTATGTGTTAAAAGTAATAACTATAAGTTCAACCGTTATTTTGCGGTACTTAGATTTTCCATATTTTGAATAGATTAACTTAATGAATCGAAGCCTAAAACGTTTTAATCTAGATTAAATACCTAATACTAAAAAAATATATCAAATTAACATCCTAAAAAATAATATATGTAATTAATGAATATATTATCAGAAAATTTCTGCCTCGTCCCACCTCTGAAATACAAGGTATTAGACATGTAATAAATGAGGTAGTTTCAGGGTAGCTTAGTTCACACCACACAATCTCTCATGAACACCACAATGTCTAGTTTTAAGCACATGTACTTAGGGACTGGGGAGTGGTAAAAGGGAAAACTTACAAATTTCAAACTTTATTTTATAGTTAACTGAAATGAAAAAAAAAAATGGATTTGGCCTCGGGGAGGGGGTAAAAGAGGTTGTATATTCCTGTATGTACCTATGTACTCAGTATTTATCATTCTTGAATTTCTAAGTTTAGTTTTATCAATCCTGTACAAATCGCTTGTAATTTTTATATTTTTGACTATTTTCTTCATAAGTCTTTCTGTATTGTAGCACCCGAATTATTGTGAATATGTGTACATTTATATATATTTTCATTACAAATTTTGACTCATAACAACTTTTTTTTTCAAGCTTACGAAAACTTCAAAGTTTGTCCCAAAATAAAATAATGTAATTATACTAAAGTAAGCTCGAAATAAAATAAGTTAGGTGATTTATTAACTTTATTGATCTCGATCCTGAAGCTAACGATATGCACATACTTTGTCACGCTTAGGAATTCAACAACTAATGTACTTAATGTACGGCTAAGACTGTTTCGATATTGAAACTTAATGTTTTCTAAGACACAAAAGTATTTTAAAAACTAAGGAAGTCCAAAGACCTGTTCCTGAGAAACGAGTTTACATCAAATCACTTCAGGAAGCGATCTTAATATTCATGTATTTAAAATATGCGTAGGTTTTTGTTTTGTTCATTTTTTTCAATGCATTTTTTAAGGAAATGATGCTTGCAACATCATCATAAAAACAAAATAGGA